ATTCTCCGTATAATTATTTTTTCTTTTTACAATAATTTAACCTTTCCGATAGCATAAAGATATATTATATACATATATACAATCGGATGAAACATATACAGGGTGATTTTAACATATTTCGTCACCCATCATGAGCAGGTAGAGTGAATTGAACTGAGTCGAAAAGTCCTCTACCATTTTGCAATTTTTGCAATAGTTAACAAGATATTAATTACTAAAAGTTGTCAAATATTGGTCTTGAATAATTTTTTACTCAAATATTATCAATTTTATAGAAAAGAGATAAAAATCATTAATTTTCTTCTCATAAAGTTCTGAGAATTTTTTCAGAATTTTTTAATACCGTATTTTCTCATGTTGGTAAAAATAAAAAAATGCAGTACTAAAAAGTTGATAAAAAATTCTGAAAAAATTTTTAGAGTTCTATGAGAAAAAAAGTAAATTATTTTTGTCTCTTGCAGTTTTTCTATAAAGTTGACAGTATTTGAGTAAAAAATTATTTAAGACCAATATTTGGCAATTTTTAGTAATTAATATCTCATTAACTATTGTATAAACTGCAAAATGGTAGATAACTTTTCGACTCACTCTACCTGCTCATGATGAGTGACAAAATATGTTAAAATCACCCTGTATAATAAGATGCACGGTTAAATCAAAATTATTAAAATTATTTATGATAACGTAAAATAAAAGTTATGAAATTTATGCTAAGTTATCGATAGTTTTACATAAAGTCACTTTATTATTATTTCGTATAAATACAAAAATAAATGTTTCCCCAACAAAAATATTTTGCACGAATTCTTTCAGCTCTATATAATATAATTCCAAAAATTAATGGAACCTACATACTTTTTATTCGCTGTGCATTTCGTTTAAATTGTAATAAAAATGCCAAGTTTACGAAGGACAGTATTACCTAGAATACAAAAACGTTGCTCGAGTCGATCGAGGTCTGTAATCGTAGCGCTTGTTTATCTTCAAGAACGTTTCACCGGCTCGCCAAGAATGAGAGTGAAACAAAAGCAGAACCGAACGAGATGAAGTAACTTTTAATAATATAGATTATTTTGTTACTACATGAGGTAGATGACGAGACTCGAGGCTCGAATCGTTCGCTCTAAGAGAGAAAAACAAGTCGCGATTTCTTTCAGTCGAAGTATTAAACGACGTAACTGAGAATCTATTGCTTTTCATAACAATGCGCTGCTTGTCGAAATTCTTAGAACCGCAAGATCCGGTTATCACAGATAAAACATCGTCCACAGGTGAAGACGGCCCTGCGAGGCAGCGCTCGATCACGTGATCGAGCATAATCTCGTTCGAACGGCCGCGCGCGAGTTGCTCACGGAGCGTCAATCGTTCGTACGAAGTGGAATCGCGTCCGTTTACGAGAATTCGACGCGCGATTGTCACCGAGATTGTCTGAGATTTCAGCGAAGGGTTGAATGGAGTGCGCACGTGAAAAGTCCCAATGACGACGATGCACGATGCGTCTAATAACGCGAGTGCGGAAATGTGGATACGAGATGCCGCGTTTTTCATGAAGCAAGATGGCTACAATACTCTGCAGGATGAAACTCCACGCCGTGCTGCGCCGACCGCTTGGATGAGTGCTGATCGACGACTGCGATTCTTATACCTACCACTTCCGATGGATGTAGAGATTGCTTCGAGAACTTCCTGTCAGTGAGTGCGATGAAATTGTTAACCTATATCAATCGATTATCAAGCGTACGTGTTATTTTGAAACAATGCAATCCGTGCCGCTTTACATATTCGAATTATGTTTCAAACCTAATCTACAATGTACAATTTCACCATTTATTTTTACCTCTTACTTTTTTGCCTTTTATCCTGTATGATTCCTTTGTTTCCTATCGCCTGAGATAAAAATCAACAAATTTCAAAAGAGATAACGAACACGATAAAACACGACCGCAAAGAGGAAAAAAGGCAAGATGTAAAAAGCAAAATATAGAAAGCAAAGAGCATATTATAGATTAAACTTTAAACATTTCGATCCTTCAGTCACGACGGTAAAACCGGTTTTCGAAATTTTCAAAATGAGATGCTGATCGTATCAATTACAATGACGATGTATTTCAGAGTATTCGGGAATGTATGATTTTTATTTTAAACTATATAAAACGACGCGATAAACGGCGTACAAATGTCGTAAACTATTTGCAAAAAATTTGAATTGCTAAATTATTAAAAAATTTACTTGTTTCTTTAATGTCGAGTTGTCGACTAAAATGAGTTTTAAATAATTCATTTTGATTAATTTTTATTTTAGTTGATGTTTGCCTCTACAGCATTAAGATGTTATAGCAAATTTCTTTTCTATTTGACAATTTCAAAGAAATACGCTATACGATATACTTTCAATGCACATCGTAAATGTAATTGCAGCGATAAACTAGGAAAATTATGAAGGTGTCGAAAGTACATGCATCTATGTGTTTATGTTGTGCGTGTGTAGACTATAAACATTTATTACATCATGTAAGTACAATTGAACACCAAGGGGTTGCTAAATTATTATTATTATTTTTACCATTTATCATTGTTATTTATCATTGTTACATTATTATTGTTATCGTTTATTATCATTGCCTATTAATACATTTATATCAAATATTATTTGTGACTTCACCCGTTCATAAATAATATACTTTGTCTCTTTTAAACAAATACATACTCTCTTAAATACATAATTTGTCTCTCTCTCTCTCTCTCTCTCTCTCTCTCTCTCTCTCTCTCTCTCTCTCTCTGTACAATCTATATACACATAATATGCTCACACATATACTTGCTTGCTCTATACGCGCGTATGCGTAAATATACGTATATTTTTCAGAGGCATTAAATCGATAATACAAACGAATAATAAGCGATAATTATGCGGATATATGCGTGTATATCGAGGAATTTCATCGCTTTCTTTATTAGAACACGTATGAAACTGCACTATGTTTTTGTGTGACCAGAAAGCCAGATCCTACATTTCGTTCCGCTTAATTGTTGATTTCATCTAGGACTTTTTATCTAGGACTCGAGACACTCGAACTGGACCTTGTAATTAAAACGAGCGCTGACATGTCCCTATGCGTGTCTTAGCGCGAGATATTACCGTGTCTTCTGATTAGTCAGTAAGTAACACCTCAAAATATATGTAATACATCGTGACGTATACGTCGCGAATTTCAAGATTATTTCACACTATCGAGAATTTTAGCACATATATCAATTATTATTCTACTATCTATTAAATAGTCTAAAAATGTTAGCGGTCAAAAAAGATTAATTGCATTTAATCAATTAACGAAACGTTAACGCTGTTTATATATATACATATTGTCATGCAAATTTGCGGTAATAATTCAATACAAGTCGATTCGAATTTTTTTCGTATTAATTCACTTACGTATTAAAATCGAAAAATGCATTATTGTGGTTGAATATTAATTTTCATTTAAAATATCATTACGTAAAGACATTTACATTTCCAAAGTTATAAATTTATATTCCCGATTTTTAATTAAATAACTATCGACTGATATTGTATGCAATATTCAGATTCTTTATATATTATATAATTTATAATTGAAATAAACAAAACAGATATTTTTCTAGATATAACAATACGAAAATTATATTATTATATAAATTAGTTTCTTTATAATATTTCTGTATAATATCTTTTAAAATAAAATATAAATTCACTTTTAACTGCTAAAATTCCTTTATTATTAAGTTGAATTTGAATATAAATAATACATATTAAATCAGTCTCAATTTGATAAATAAACGAGTAAAATTGTTAGAGAGAGCGAATATACTTGTGTATATTTTCTATAACAGCATAGTTTAATATAATTGAGAATATTGGTTGTTTATTGGATACATATAGATATATTCGCTACAACTACGTTGCATTTGGCTCATATTTGTCTATCAAATTGACTCTTATTCAGATTTTTTTTTATCAAGCCATTGTCTCTTTCTATTTTTCTTTTAAATCATATTGCACTATTCGTATTCAGTCTTACGATTAGTCGGCTAAATAAAAACAAAAATCATGAAAACTTAAAAATCAAGTAGGAACTAATATGAAACAATATCTAGTCGATTTGGGTCCCATAAATTAGTTCTTGTTATAACAATTATTCATGTGTCGCGTATCACCGATATACAGGGTGTATACTAAATATGCTAAAAGATTTTAAGGGATGATTTCTTAAACAAATTTAAAACAAAAACTTCATATGACGATATATCCGAAACGGCTTAATTTTACAGAACGTCAAAGAATGAAAAATTTCACATTTAAGTTATTTTGATAAAATTTTAAACATATACAAAGTTTCATCAAAATTAGTCAAGTGGTTTTAAAAATTTTTAGAAAAAAAATGAAATTTTTTTCTTCAACTTTGATAACCTGTATCTTTGAAACTAAGCCGTTTCGGATATATCGTCATATGAAGTTTTCGTCTTGAATTTGTATAAAGAATCACCCCTTGTAAAATCTTTTATCGTATTTATTGTTAGTATATATCCTATATACGTAGTCACAAAACTAATTATCTGGACAGGCAGACAATTATCGATAATTTTTTCAAATTGTTGTTCGAGGATTAAAAATTATTTTACGCATACATTACGTCATTGATAGTTCACATTTATAATTGGACAACTAATTGTGAAACTACTAGTGTCATAATGCGTATCGAATGCGTGGAACAACTTTTAACCATCAACTTTCAACGAAAAAAGTTTGAAAAAAATCATCAATATAATGACGGATTGTCCAGATACATATATATATATATATATATATGTATATGTTTGTATATATGTATATATATATACATATGTATCATGTTACATTTAGCTCACATTTAACATTATATATCATTAAAATAATTACCATTAACTTTAGCTCTTACACGCTAGGACAATTTAATAAATTTTGTTATGTATCATGTATCTACTTTATCGCGAAACGTGATAATAGCGAAGAATATCGTACATTAGTATCGGTTATATTAATACGCGCGAAACCGTTTCTACACATTTTTGTATTTAAAATTTTATTGAAACTTATAAACTATTTCCTAACACACGAGGAATGTGTGGATAATTAAATTCCAAGTTTAGTGTCTGATCTTTAGATATAAATTTTACGATACGAATCGCGAATATATTATCGCCGTATTTAGAAATTATTTCTAATTCATATTATATTTCATATTTATACTATATATTCATAACTTATATAAAATAATATAATATTAATTTTTAAGCGTACGTGCCGCACGATTCATATCGCGCGTTATTATAAACATAAATATTCTTTTTATTAAGCTATTTGTGATATCTCAGTTTTAAAAAGCACCTGCTTATAGAAAATGCACTCCGACGGTGAACCCTTTTTTTTACCTCTTGAGCTCTGTGATGATTGATATCAATTGTCAACGATTTGTCATGGCAGTAGAAAATGGCAGCTTATTAAACGAGTTTGAACTCGTTGAAATATTGAGATAAAAATGAGAGCGTCGGTTCACAGGCTGACATTGAGATTCATTAGAAATTTATGTTTTTTTGCGGTAAGCATATAGCCCTGCACGAAGTGACATTCTCTTAGGCAATAATAAAGCCCCGTCTCATGAAAGAATAAGCGAAAGAAATATCTATAGTAGTAGTAGTAATACGTTCATTCAGTCGCTCGAAGTCGACGGTTTGCTTTCCAGTGTCTGCTCGAAAAGATAAAGTGCTCTATGAATAAATTCATATTGTTCCGCTGTTTGCACCATCCCTCCCCTATCGTATCTAAAATATTAAGAATACTTGTATTTATAAAATCTACATAAGATTACAACGTACGTATTTAAAACTTATTGTCTTACCTCATCTGGCACAAAATACCCAATATATCGACATTTCCATCTCTTATAAGTTGATTCATTCCTATTCCTATCGCTATGAAACAACCAGTTCGTCCTATACCCGCGCTGCAGTGGACGACCACTGGTTTTGGCGAAGCGTTTATCTCTGCAGCCATACTAACGAGAGCATCTGCAGTTTGAGGTACAGCATGGTCCGGCCATGAATCATACCTGTTGATACATTTTAGAATTTAATATGTAAATTTCTAATATATTTATCTGTTGTTAATAGAGTTCCTGTTATTTGAAAATGAAAAGCAGTAATTACATTAACAGTAATTACCAGTAGTGTTGCAAATGTCTCCTTTCTCCTTCGTGTCGAATCTCCATAGTTCTGACGGTATATCCATTTCTCGTATCGATATAGTTAACGATAACTGTGAAAGATCCAGCTTGTAAGCGATTATTTACGTCAAAGGGAAAATACGCTTCGCACTTTGGTTTGGACACTTCGTACAATCTAGTTATCATGACGATTGCAGGAACTTTTTCTGCCCAGATCATTTTCCAGAAGTCTTCTATCGTGTTAGCTAATGGTCCCTGTGTCGCGATGTATCTACCATTTTCGCCATCGTATCCCTATAAATTTTGTTTTCTATTGTAGTTTTTAATTCGTTTAATTTGATGATAAAAAGTGCTTACGTATTATATCAAACAAGTTTTCTCAGGCATCATTTTATACTATTTTACACAAAATTACTATTTACATACTCGGATGTAATTAGCGTTTATGTAACCGGCGAGCGGATCGTCGGAGGAACCTGGTAGAATCACTCTCGTTTGTAGATTGGGCAAAACAGAGCTGTATCGATTCTTCACTCCTGAGCCACAAATATCCACCTTTTCCGGTAGATTTAGTGGCACCTCCCAAAATTCTTTGTGTAATGTTCCCGTACTTTCGATAACTTTTTTCAATTGTGCTCTCGATAATACATTTCCTGCACTTAGCAAAAACTCTTCCGTTGTACATTCTCGGGTAGGAGTAACCATATGTGGCGGACTTTCAGGAGCTGGTGCCAATTCTATGGTTAAACTTGTGCTCGAACCACGTCTTTCCAACAATCCTTTTGCTTTCATACGTATCGCTTCCGGTTTACGTTCAGGCGTTGCCAGAGACTTTTAACATAATATGAAGATTAACATAATATGAAAGTTATTTTCAATATGATCATTTAATATTTGTGTGAGAATTACATTGATTGATAGATTCTCTTACCTCGGGTAAAGAAGTCTGTGGAATTGGTCGTACCGGGTACTTGGGTGCAGATTGCTTCGCGAATGCTTCGTGAACCCATTTAGCTTCCACGGATTCTTTTGCATCTTTAGTTGATTTGTCTGGCTTACAAGTGGCACCTTCCTCGACCAGACCGTGCCGATCGCCATTTTCGTTATCTTTTTCACGCGACATTTGTTTTCGCAGCCATAACAAGATCTATTGGAAAGTTGCTGTTATTATTATACAATATACATTATCTTAATATATAGTATCTAATTCAATGATTTAATTCAATGGTAAAACCAATTGGTTTTCATATATCTAGAAAGTTTTTTGTCATTTGTTTTTAAAAAGAAGATGTGATATTTACTAGGAATGTAAAAAGAATAGTGCCAGCGATTGCACAAAGCGCTACAAAGTAAGGCAAATGCCAATCTAGCCATGATAGAGTCGTCCTGGAATGTACTTCCTTGTCTGTCTGACTATTGAGTTGGGCCACTTGGAGATCCATTCCAGCATCATCCAGTCCTGTCACGGACTGCCGGATTCTGTATTAAAAATACTTTGAGATAAAAAGTAAATCTTAATATTTTATGAAATATTACTGGAATACGATTACGGCTGGTACTGTGAATTTTTATACGACACATAAGCATTACCTGTGATGGGATCTCGTAGGCATTCCCTTCGTAGAGGGCAATAAGGAGATTGGCACTAGTGTATCCTTATGCCACTTTTGTTCAGTGATTAGATAAAATTTTTCCAGAGGATTTATATTATCACTATTGTTGATTGTTGCATCATAATAATTAACATCATTTGCATGATGATGAGTCAAGGAAACACTTGTACCATCTATAATAAAAATAATAATAAAATTGCACACACAGACTATAACATAACTAGAAGCTTTACGATATTGTGAAGCATTGCAAATATTGTACAACAATTTTTTTCCTCGTATATAATCAAATTTTATCATTTTCTCCAATATTTTGTTTAACAAAAATTTAACGTATAACTTTAATCGTAATAAATATAACGCAATTTCAACGAATAGGTAACGGAAGAAGGGAAAACTTTTTACGTTATGAACAAGAAGTAAAAATAACTCATTATTTCTGATGAACGATAAAAAGAGAATTACAAAAGCATGAAAAAAAAAAATAAAAAATGGGATAGCGACGTAAAATTGTTCATTTGCCATTTCGTCAGCCATGAATTGCAATATGCGTACATACATAAACGATACGCACGCACGCATACACGCACGTACACAGTCAGCTCGCGTCATACACTATCCCGAAGTCGGAGCATCGTGAATAAATCACATCCTGTTTTCTCATTGATGTAATAATAGCAAGCGGATATGTACGGTATTTGCTAGCGAATGAGCGAACGAGTGAGCGAAAGAGAAGGATTGCTTTTCACACTGATGTTTGATCGATACCTTTCGTCAGCAGCACATACAACAATATATCAAGCGGTGTATTGACGTGTGATTTACGGGCACGATGCTCCGAGAATGAGGGTTGTATGTACGGCGATACGGCCATATTGCGACGGAGTCGAAGCCAGGCAAACTCCTTGTTGGAACTAGCCGAGAGACGCTCCGTTGCATACGTCTTGACCTGGAGCTTCGGTTCTATTCATAGTGTTTCACGATCGTTTCGCATTCCTCTCGTTCTCTCGCATAGTACGTCGGGAGTAAGCGCCGACCAATCGGAACAACGGCGGTCTCGTCGGCCCATTGGCGCCGGCCAACCGCGGTGTGAATGTAAACGCTTGTACCGTGTTATTCATAGGTGGGAGTTGGCGTGAATGAAAGCGGAGCACGTGCGATTAATGACGGTGAGGTTGCGTTCGGGAACGGGTTTTATTCGATATATATGCAGTGGACGCGCTGCTTCTTTAACAAATAACTTATTTGAAGGAGCAAAATTCTTTACATGCAATGGTACGACGGAAAGAAACCAGAAGCGGACTGAATTGTCCCACAAATTGTCTCGTCGCATTAAATGAATTACAGTCCTTCCTCAACTTGTCGCAATACCGCTGGCTGATTCATTCAATCTCTTCACACCAATATTCAATTGGTTGCCCCCAAAAAGATGTTTTAAATTAAGATTGCCTTTCTGAAGCTCTCGGTCGCACTCGATTAATAATTAGAATTTTAGATATTTATTTCAAAAATTGCAAACTTCTTCCTAAAATCGCTATATATATATATTTCCCCTTATTTTTTGTTAACTAAAATTTATTAACTCAAGTTTTCAAGTATTCGCGCTTGTTTCTCCGTTGATCTCAATGATAGATAAACAGCCACGAATATCTTCCTAAACATCTTACGTATATATACTTCTCAAGAATATAGCGATGATTCACGGAACCGGATGTTCATATTTGCCGTTTACACTCAAGCATATCACATTCCACTAGAAATCCGCATTATTTGTGTTTTATACCTTTTTTTTTGTATATCTTTTTAACATCTTTAATTCGATTTCGTAGTACGATAAAAATCAGATAATAACTTCATATAATTTCCAATTTCATATTGTATCAATTATTTTTTTAGTAAATGACAAATCTTACATACTTTTACTTACTGTCTATAGTACGATAAATGGCAAGCGGCAATCATTGTAGTAGCTAAAAATCAATAAGCACGCCGGTACTGAATGTTCGACTTCGCGTGCCTCGATTTCACACTAACGTAAATAAATTACTCTGTCGTTTCAAGATTGAGAAACATGTTTTAAGACTTATCGAAAAATTAGAAGTGATATATCACTGGCTATTGAGAAAAATCTCTTCTTCAAACTCACGCATTTGTGATTTATATTGTAAGACACAAGAAAAAAAATTTTCTAAACATGAAAATTGAGAAAATCTAATATATCGTATTCTTAAACGATGAAAAAGCTTGGACGAATATTAGAGCAGCTCTCGCGTTACTAACTGAATTAATCCCCATTCATCCTTCCACAGGAAGCTTACGAATTTTCGCATAGAGTGCACGCACCCGGGGATATACACGCACTTGCGTAAAATTATGTTACAATGATTGATCGAAGATTCAAAAAATTCAAATATCATATATGGATAATTATAATTTGATTGTTTTTTTATAAATTTCTTTAACAATCAAATAATAAAAATTTTTGGAAATTGAAAAAAAATTTTGTATCGATAAATATCGATAAGATTAATATTTAGCGAATAATCACAAAAGATATAAATAAGATCTTGGTAAAAAGTAATGTCTTTTTATTGATAAAAAAAATTTTTTTGCTATGAACGCAAAGACATTGCAAAATTTAATCGTCAAATTTGTTTCTTTGTAGCAAACAAATTTGCATATTTGATCAAGATTTTGCATTTGTTGCAAATAATCTGCTATCTCTATATTTACAAATGGAATTTGCCGTTACGACATAGGATTAGCGTTCATCAAATTTTTTCTTTCCATGTTTACTTCGATAAACGGCTCTTTCTCTCTCTCTCTCTCTTTCTCTCTCTCTCTCTCTCTCTCTCTCTCTCTCTTTCTGCTCTACTTTTTTCTTATTCCTCATTATTATTGCCGTTTTACTTTTTACTATTTTATATATTTTTATATATTTTTTCTTTTTTTATTGTACTTTATTTTTCGTTAATGTTTTTAATTAGGGCTTGTTCTAGAAATAAATGCTTTTATCTATTTATTTTTCTATTTCTATGAATGTTTTATAGTGAATTATTTATTATGAGAAGAATACACGCGAGAAGAATACCATCGAATCCATTCTTAAATTTTAAAGTTTGTAATATTTTGTTATAACTTATATAATATAAGAATTAAATTATTTAATTCATTGTATGTACACAATTGTAGAATAGAATAGTCCTTCATAAAGTCGCAACATATATTACTATTAGACATGAGTCTATTGATTCAAAAATTATCTGTGCTTAACATGTATTCAATGTATTTATAAACTATCGAATTGATAAATTACTCGATCTATTAAGCCTTGTCATCTAATTTATATTAAGATATAAACATATAACGAAATTTAGTTACTTTTTTTTTGACAATAGAATTTAATCGTTCAATTTTTGCAAGAAAGAGTCGATAATTGTATTATTTTTGTCAAAGAGCTGATAATTATATTATTTTCAACGCAGTGCATAATAATGATATTACACTTCTACTGATAACACATTGAGATGATAACATCGAAACACACATACATTCGCATTTGCATTGATCATATACCTTGCCGAGACGAGTGAGAAGAAGGTCCTTCTCTTCCTTTCTCGAGATGGTCTGTTACGTCTTGTTAAGACGTTATCGCGATAGACAGCATCACCCTGCGCACATTGACATCGTGGCAGACGATAAGATACGATACGTAGCTCCGCAGATAAATTTCGCGACTGCGACGGATCGGACTCGCGTCGAACGCATCTGAATGGCGTCTGAACAGATTGCAAAATGACGGCCAACTGCATTCACCTCTTTCGCGTTGACCGCGAAGGGGTAGCGAGGGGATGGAGTGCAGCAGACGCGCGCATTCGTGACACGGATACGATTCACTGAGCCACCCTTCCCTCTGTAACGGTACGTGGCCTCGCCCCTTGTATGTATGTACGTACCATCGCTGCATCCAATGGTACCCTTCATGAACGACGGTGATACGATTCATCGGGAAAAATTTTAGCACTAAATCATTGCCCTATCGAATTTTCTTCGAAATCGTTAAAACTATTGAATTGTTGCAATATTGATTTAATCTCGTTTATTTGAGATGTTTATAATTTAAAGTTTCACAATGGAAGTCTATATAAATTTATTTCAATTGAAATCCGTATTTATCACGAAATTTAACTCTAGAAATTGAATAAAATGTACATGTCACATACATTCACAATTCCAGCATTGATTCGCCTTCCTTTTCTATGTTTCCAACTCGTTCAATCGTCTGAATCCTCGTTCAATGAGAAGTAGTATTTTAGCAATAATCGCTCTATATTGAAATAATTGCGATCAGAGATATAAATTTGTGTTTTTATTATTACGTATATTAATTTTATAGCTTAAATAAGTGGTATTTATTTTCTGTTAGCTTAAATGACTGATATTTAATTTTTTCTCCGCTTAATATTTTCTCTATTATTTATTATATATTTATTATTCCTATTACATTTTCGTTACGTATCTCTATTTTTTTCAAACGTCTACCGAAACGCAATCGTAAGAGAAGAGGAAGCAAAAAGAGAACGATAGAGGGTGGCAAGGTTAAGTAAGAGCAAAGAGGAGGGAGCGTTGAATGAGAACTTCTAGGTCGTTGAGAGGGTATGGAGAGAGGGAGACAAATCGGCCTTCATAACACGGAAGGGTGAAGAAAAGAGACAGAATGTAGGCTAGTCTCGTTGGCGAACAGCGTCCCCAATCGATACTTACGCAGCGAACTTCTACGCCCTCTCGTTCTGTTAATCTTTCATTTTATTATATTTTATTATAGTTAACTAACAAATACATAATTTCATGAACGAACCAACGACAGAGATAAAGAAAGAAAGAATCAAAATGCATTCACAATTTCTTATTTACATTTTTTTGTTAGAATTAATGAAAATAATTAGAATTGAATATGTATCCCTAACTATTTATATTAGATAATTTGTGGATATGATAATGTCATTAATCTTGCACACGTGTATGACACAGATTTAACAATAATTATGCGCAGAATGTATTCGAAGTTGTTACTTTCCTAATAAGAAACGTTTAAACACATTAAGGAAATTATACAATTTTCAATTTAGTCTTTATTTGTACTTTCCATTTTTTGATATATTTGTTAATGACACACAATATTGATATTTTTATTTTTGCAACATGTAATAATGAACGTAACCATTCGTAATATTCATAGTTTATTTAATCAAATCCAATGATTGCACATGAGAGAGCTTAGCCTTAATATTCTTGGAGATTTACAAAAATCACTTTATGTAGTAATATTATTTAGTATATATTATATATATATATAAATTGTTTAATAGAAAAAAATAAAATATTACAAAGACGCGAAAGGTAATAATTTTCCAAATGTTGTTTGTAGAATCCTTTTATTCTGTTTTTGCTTTGAAAAATAGATGTTTTTTTTACATCTTAAGATGTTAAAAAATCAAGTGTTAAAAGATTGTAGACAGCTCTGTCATATCCGGTAGCCGAGCTATAAAAAAACAACAATTTTCGATATACGTTTCATTTAAGCAAATAATCAATAATTTAGAAAGAAAAACTTGAAACATAACAGTTGTAATGGTGAGATAAGTAAAAAGAAAACTTTGTCTACGAATCTCAATTTACATATCTAATTTGTATTTTTTAACATTAATGGGACATTATGCTAGATTTATTCTTTCATTATATCTATGTATATTAATAATTTGTAATTAATATCTCTACAATTTTTTTTGCTATAAATGAAATATCTTCTCACGCATTATTTTTTAACAACAGATTCTTTGATAATCAATTGTCTCTCAGCGAAAATATCAGGATAAATTATTGTTTATTAGATTTTTCCAATTATACTATCTTTGTAATAGAATCTAAAATTAAAATTTTATTAAAAATGTTTTAATTGTATAATATCAGCTAAAAATACTAGCCACAAAATCAGCTAAAAATTATATTAGCGAACAATTTTTTGTCATAAATACCCGAAATAAAAATATCTTGAAATAACTAATAAAAAATAGTAAAATTAATAAAACTAATAAAAAAGTAACAAATAATTTAAACGAAATAATTAAACAAAATAAGTTAATAATGGCTTTATGTAACCATTGATGATATTTTGCAATTTTGGATAAATATAGCTTTTGAACGAGTAAGCAGATTTAAATAAACTTTTGCATGAATTAATATATGTAATAAATTTAATTTAATTTGTAATGCTAAGATTTCATCAAATTTGCAAAAAATTACAAAATTTTGTATAAGAATTAAGACTAACAAGAAAATATTAAATAACATATAAACCAATAAAAGAAGTTCAAATTTTACAGATATTTAAACGTAAAAATAGAACAAACTGAAATTTTTATATTTTTTATACTTTGAGATATGACACATACATCCTTAAAGTAAACTTTGCTTAATGTAAATGGACTGAAAAGAAATGAAATGAAATTTAGTTAATCGATTGAAAGATTTAGTTTTTGAGAAAGCAAAAATAATTTCGATTATTTAAATTGAAGATTATTTATATTTTCATATCATTTGCTATGAAAAAAATCAAAAAGATTTGATATTTATTTTTCTTTTTTGGGATATCCTGTATTCATAATTTCTTCTTTTTAAAAATTGGAACTTCTCTTCTGATGAGATTACATCTATACAATAGCAGTTCTTTTCGTTATCGCGATGAGATTCTCTCGTGTGGCGTAACGAAGAGAAACAGACACGAAGCGAGTATTCACATCCTTTTGCTGGATAAAGAGAAACGTCAAAGCTGCGCATACGCAATGCGAATATACCCGTGCAACCTTCAATGGGCTGCCTACCCATTCGCATCCGCTCGCAGGGATTGAGCTCTTCCATTGAGCAACTTGGCTGCTTCCGCTTTCCGTTCATGCGTCTGTCTCCTCTTCTTTTTTCCTCTTTTTCTCTCTTCCGTTCCACGTTTTTTCGATCGTTTTCCTCTCTTACGAGTCTCAGGTACGAGTCGATACAGGTTCCGGCGACCCAATTCGATGAATGATTATTGCACAAAGAGTCTAGAATTCGATATTCATCCATATCGGAAATTGCTATTAATGTGCTTATCGGGGGAGATATTGATCGAGTCCCGGTTTTTCAATGAACTGTACTGCCGTTGCTGGTGGCAGTACAAGAGACAAGGCGATACGCGACCCAGAGCCGACCACGGCGACCTACTTTGAGGCTGTGACGTTGAACGGTCCATTCACCTTGCAGCTTCGTTCAGAAATCAAAGCACGTGCCATCATTGGCACTTATGAATACACGCCGAGACAATTTCTAAAACATATCGAATATGTACGTACCATAAAATATCTAATGTTAATTGTATCTACTCGCGTTATTTTATCACTCGATATTCGAGACAGAATAGGATAAAAATAAGACACAAATGTTTACGAGTACTTCACGTTTATTAAATTATTCTGCTCGTACTGCTTTGTTTAAATGTCACTCCGTGGGTCGCTAAAGCTTTGATCGTTTCTCTTATATCGTTAGGAAAACGCGACGGAGTGATGAATTAGATTTTTGCCTCTTGAATGATTTTTATCTGGAAAATACACTAAAAGAGCGAAATTTTTTAACATGCTGATATTAAACACCGATGTTATATATTTCTTATTTTATAACTGAAGATTCCGGAATAACTTTATTTTAAGAGCGATGACGTTAATAAAACTATAATCATAGATTTATTACGTTAATACTAAATTAAATTATCGGGATATTTATAATTACTCTTCTTATATTATAATCAACATTTTCTGTTAATAGTTAGCTTATATAGCATTGTAGTTTATAAAAAACTTACATGTATTACGTAATTCAAAGCCAAATTATTTTTTGGAGTGAAGTATTTCTTTTTGTCAAAAGATCAGCATAGGGGGGTAGCTTGTCCTAGTAACCTAGTTTATTCCTGGGGGTTGAATAAACGGAGTTGAAGCCAGATGACGTCATTCTCGACCCCATTTCCGGTTTCCCGGTGCAACCAGTTATCCAGCTCTGTGTCCCGTTGACCCGAAATTCCTCATGAATTGAAGGACGTTCGTTCACAACGAGTCGATCTGCCGTGCATGAATGAATTTTCCGCTTCAGTATCATTATTTTCTCGTAGTGAGAAAAAAACTTACGCTTAAAGTGGCGAATGATTGAATCGCGCATAAGTAACGCGATATCTATTATAATGGAAATTTATACGATTATCTTCATTGTAATTATTATATTCTTTGTAACTATTATGCACTAAAAGAACTTTGAGCACACTCTCTAAAAATTCCAAATCTCTGATCAAGATAACATAATTTGATAAATCATTATTTGATAACATAATTTGATAAATCATCATTTGGCTTCTCCAAATTATCTATCCCGCGAGATAATGTATCTATCCCGCGAGATTAAAATCAATGATTAAAATTTAAATTTTTTAAAGACTTTTCATATATCTTCTATAAACTACGCTTTTTTAATTTTTTTTTTTTTTAATAATAGATCAGATCTAAGTATAGGATTTAATATTGTGGCATCTTATTTTGCTTTTAATATTCTACAAGCTGATATTATTACAATCATCTTTATTTCTACGTTTATGTATTTCTGCAACGTTACACTATGATTTGCAACGTTGCTGTAAATTATTATAAATAATTTTATTTGCGCTTGAACAATTTTATTTTCGCTCTAATCTACTTATAATTGCCCTGACCTTTGCGTGACATCGAGCCCACAATTCCTATCTCTATATACACGTCTTGTCGGTCTTGCGTAATCACTATATATTGATAAGATATTAAGTCTACTTTACAACAGCCGTAAGCATAATTGTAAGTGGTTGTAATTATAAGAATTAACCAGTCACAGTCGAACATAAGAGGAACATTCGACTATGATTCGTCAATTCTTACAACTACTAGTCACTTGCGAATTACAGCTTACAGCTATTATAAACTAAGCTTTAGTGTTATCGGTTAAAGATGTTTACGACTTAAGGCCATCAATTTATGTATAAATATCGGATGATGACGGTTGACTTTCCTAGTGTTCTCATAACAAGATATTCAAGTGGATACGGACTGTACAATGGAACATTTAAGCTTCAATATTTCAAACAAGTCACTTACTTTAAAAAAACGAGATACTCTTCCAAAACCAGCTGCAAATGAGGTCCGAATTAAGGTCGCATATTCCGGGATTTGTGGAACAGATCTTCATATTTTAGAAGTATGTTAATTATTATTGTAAAAATTGTAAAAATAGATTATTTTCATTATCGAAATTGTAGAACGTAAAAAGTTTCAATGATTCTAAATAATTATCACAATTATTTAGAGTCATTGTAACTTTTTACGTTCTACAATTAATATATAATAATTTTTATAAATACAATATGATTTTTTTATTAGCGATATATTGCTTATTCGTAGGAGATAATTTATACAAAAATATTTTATTATCTTAAAATATAAAAGTTTCAGATAAAATCTACAGCGCAGCACGTGAATCTCATAAAATTTTTGTAACTTTATTTAAGTTTCAAAAAGAACTCCATGGGAATTTCATACTCTACAATATAAATGTAATATAACACGTGTTACATAACAGTTATATTGGAGTGCGAAATTGCAACATTGTCATTATAGGTCTGTTTGCCTTACTCACACTTTTTTACACTTTTTACACTTAAAATGAGATAGATATATATTTTAAACTAAAAAGAAAGAAAACGAAAATGCTGAGTGTAAAAAGTGTAAGCAAAGCGAACAGACTTTATGTTACTTTCAATTTGTGTTGACTGGGCTGAGAGCTTATTTAATTTCCTATTTAGCAAATTTTGTAAGCTCCCTGAAAGCTCCCTGAGAGTTCATTTTATCGAATTTTATAAACTCGCCGAGAGTTTAGCAAAATGAATTCCTTGGGAATTTAATCGGAGCTTTGAGCTGTGTGGGAAGTTATAAGACACAATTAATATTTTATTATTTAAATTACTTGAAAATTATTTGGAAATATTTAAAATAGAAAAAACATACATTTCGAGTCACTCAGTAGTCAATCAGTAGCTGTCAATCATTTCAGTCAATCAGTAGCTGTTTTATAGACTGATAATTGTACTTTTATTTGAACTAACGTAATTTAAAATAAAGATTAAAACTTTGTTGATTATCTCATAGCATGATGTATTGCCTGATACACGAGTATAAATATATACTGATATACATATATATATATACACGCTTTGAAATAATGTATTTTTTAGGGAAGCTTTCCCTGTAAAGAGGATGGACCTCTGACACTTGGACACGAATTTGTAGGTACTATCGATGAAGTCGGATCGGAAGTGACTATCTTTAAAATCGGTCAACGTGTAGCTGTCGATCCTAATAATGGGTGCAACAAATGCGATCATTGTCACAACGCGAATTATCATTATTGTGCATATGGTGGTATAAACAATACCATAGGTATTTTCAAAGATGGCGGATGGGCTACGCACGCGCTTGTCCCAGAAACACAGGTACGCAATACATACAGAACACTTCAAAAGGCTCGGATGTCGCAGACCGGATTCTTCGACTAATATTGATTTTTTTCTTAGCAAAAATATCTGAGCACTAATACAGAATGTACATTAAAAGTTATTGAAACTAATCAGCTATCATTATTAAATGCAATATTTTAAGAGAACATTTGGCAGTTTTATTTACATATTATCTAAAGACGATCGGAAATATTTATATCATTTAATAAATCTTATGTAATTAAAAAGATGGTTTAATGAACAAATCATTCATTTAATAAAAGGAGTATGAAAATCTTATCATTGTATAATTAATAATTCCTATAAGAATTGGTGGCTTTCGATTCAGCAGAATATGGTAAAATAAGCAACGAAAGCGTGAGCGTACAAATTTAATATGACATGTTATAAAAGTTACAGTTTGAAAATTTAACTTTCATACAATAAAGATATTGAGGATGATCTAATAAAGGGTTGAAATGATTATATATATTTGTTATATTATATTATACTAAATGACAATTTTGTATAAAATGTTATTTGTCACATTATATCGTTTGTCACATTAAAAATTAGTAGAAGCTTTTATGCTCCTTTTATTGAGTATTACTTTTATAGTTATATTTAATATAAATGTTAATAAAAATGCTAAATATCGCCAATCTTAATGTGATATATATTTTCAAAATGCTAAATTCTTAATGATATATGTATCGGAAATTTGAAAACTTTATTTAATTTTTCTTTTTTTAAATGTCCTCTATTAAAAAATATTTTTATTTTTCTGTTCCCTATATGCGCTTAGAAAAGCTGATTAAAATTTTCGCAATTAAATTCATAATATAAATAAATATAAATAATATATAATATAAATAAACAAAAGTCTCAAGTTTAAAAATTGATTAAATAACATAATTATTTTTAAATAAAGTTTATTTTAATAGCATTTTAATTTAAAACTATAAAAATATATGCAAAAATTTGAGAAGATGTGATATAGACAGAGTGATCTCGATATTTTTATTGAGAAAAAATCAGCTCTATATAAATTGGTCAAAACGATATCTATATTCATCGTTAATAGAACATGTAATATTTTGTGTATGTAACCTTTCATTTTTACTATTTTTCATTCTATTTTAATCATCTGTTTCTTGCATTATGATATTCGTATCGTTCATTTGATATTATCGGTGTTTACGATAGATATTCTTAATCCCGGATGAAATTGAAATGCGTCAAGCAGTGCTGACTGAGCCGTTATCATGCATGGCTCACGGCTGGGATAGAATAAATCCTGTAAATGTAGGAAACAAGGTTCTGGTTATGGGTGCTGGTATCATAGGTTTATTATGGGCCTGTCTACTTCATTTGCACGGCCTCAGAAAGACTGTCACTATTAGTGAACCGCAACAAAAACGAAGAGAACTTGCCTCTAATCTTGGTAATATGAATAATAATATGAAAAATTTGAATGAATATTGAAAATTTTAAAAAAGCTTTCCATCCTCTCTCTCTCTTTCTCTAATGGCGATATATTTTTGTATATAGATCTCGATTATAAAGTTAAAAATCCGACAGAATTAAAAGAGGAGTTTGATTTAGCCGTGGATTGCTGTGGCAGTGCTCCAGCCATGGAAATGGCCATGTCTTTTCTGGGACACGGTGGTCGTTTATGCGTATTCGGTGTCGCTAATCCAAAAGCAAAACTATCGATTGAACCATTTCAGGTAAACTTAAGTCTTCTGAGAGTTATAAAATTTTAATAGTTTCTTACTAAAAGTTATAATTATTATGCAGATTTACAAAAAGGAGTTGAGCATCATAGGCGTAATTGTAAATCCTTACAGTTTTTGTAAAGGATTAGCTTTGGTGCAAGCAATGTCCGAAAAATATCTTAACTACAACAAATTAGGAATCAAGGTATTTTCTTTATCTCAATATAAAGAAGCTCTCGACGCATTAAAGAAAGGGGACATAAGCAAAGCTGTTTTCAAATTATAAAACAAAGTTCTGTTTGTGCTAACAAGTTTTTATATGTATAATAAAAACAAATGAAGAATATCTTCTTTTTATAAAATTTTATTACTTACTCTAGACATAAATTTGGCCAAGTATATAAATGTATATATATATATAAACTTTACCACTGTTATATCCATGGTATATCTGATAATATACAGTTGTTCACAAGATGTATAAATATTACAATTATCATAAATATTACGAGTATCATGTTGAGTTTTAAATACAAATTACATCAGCAATTAAATTAGCAAGTATAAAATTGAAATAAAACTGTACAACAGTGACGATCTTGTAATATGTTGTTAGCTCTGTGTAATTTACAAAAAATTTTAACTCGTTTAAAAAGTTATTAACAAATGAAATAGATCATGTAAACGTACGTGTATTGAATAACATAATTTTAGAAATTCTATGTTATTTGCAGCATATACATTTAAGTAAATTATTGAGTAGAACTTCAAAAACGATCTAATCAAAACTTAATTTTAGTTTTAAGTTAGAAATATGTACATAAGTTTGGGAGGGTTAAGTTAATTTTTTTTAGTTGAAGGAGCATGAAATACTTTTTAGCTCCGTCACTCTCCCGTTGAAACATATTTGCTTAAAAGATATTGGTGTGTGTGTGTGTGTGTGTGTTCAAATTGTTTTGTCAAAGTCATTAAAAAATGAAATAAAATATATTCCTTTTATTTTTTAATATAACATCGAAAATTTGCGAAAATATATACTGTCGAAACATAATGTATAAGAAAGTGATTAACTTTAATAAATAACAGCTAAAACTTTTTAAAAGTTCCTTAGAACCACGTCATTCACAACATTTGTCAAAATTATTAATTTAAATCGGTGAGATCGTCATTGTTATGTAGTTTTATCGAAACTTGTAAAGAGTGTATAAAAACTTATTGAGATTCTTTTTATTCAGATTCCTGTTCCCTACTTTCTTTTATCAAGTTGTATATCTATGTGATACGTCTTGTTAAAAGAGATCACGATTATAAATGTGCAATAAGTAGAATACATGCTTGATAAAACGCATAAAGTTATGTTACATACGTACAAATAATGCACGTATAGGTAATGTTTTACATTATACACATGTGCATAATTTTACTTCTAACATAAATTACACTTTTTATATCACGAACAAGGCACTAACATCAACATTGTTTTCTTTGTTCATGACATTCCAAATTTTTTATTATAACGGGATAGATAGATAATTTTACAAATCCGTATTGTCGATTTGCGACTATTAATAATTATAAATAAGATAATAGGTTTCGTAATATTATCTTGTTTTACTTCTCCATTGTCTATCAGTTGTATTAAACTCAAGTTCTTATTATAGCCGTATTCCGATATGTTACTATTGAAAATCTATAGTATACATAACATAAACTATAGATTTTTAGTACTTGCAATGTATATCGGAATATAACTTATCGTCTATGCTACGTTACATAACATCAGATGCTATCATAAATGTGTACTGCTATGTTAGTTTGTATGTTTGTATGTTTCCAACATTTGTATGTCGTTGGTGTTTATATTCATAAGAGTATATGAATTATTAATTTTTATTTTAATATATATAATTAAAATATCAACAAATATCATATCAGCGTGACAAATTTAGAATCATGTCATGCCCCTTTTTTGGAATGTCTTATCAGACTAAACCTTTCAATTAAATTTAATATTTAAATAAAGTTAAAATTTCGATGTAAAAATTGACTGAACCTGCCAATTATATTTATTATAGTAATTTAAATAAAGTTAAAATTTCGATGTAAAAATTGAGCGGCGTTATTACGCAAGTTATATATAAAAAGCGGTCAGTTGTAAAAATTAAAAGAATCGTCTATAAATTCAATATAAAAATTATATATAAAATATATGTGTATATTTACATACATATCAAAAATTTATTCTAAATGTGAGTATCGTAAAAAACCAAAGCATAAGTAATGATTTAATAAAATTTCTGATAAATTCTATAACAAACTGTACTGTAGTGACACGACGTGTCACGATATGCACGTTTTTCAATGATAAATTATTTCACTTATAAATAATTATAAAAATAATTACATGATACAAATATAGAAAGTAAGTTTAGTAAAACCATAATTGAGGTCCCTTACAGTTCAGATTTTGGTTTTACACCATTATTGCAATAACAATAGAACTGATGGTTGCATAGAGCCATTTTATGAAGCAACATTGACTTGCTCCTGCCCATCGAAGGCCTGGATAGTTAATATTTGGCGTAGAAATTTCTGTAAATATCAAATATACATGTATGTACAAATATGCATATAGAAATCAATTCAAGGTTTACAATCATACGATGTCTAAACTATTATTATTGCCAGCGCTATCATCCAGTCACTTCATCTTTTGTCACATTTTTGCTAAATCATCAAAATTGATTACTATAGTCACTTTTTCTTCTTGACCTTATATGAAATTAAAGATTCTATGTGTACTTTTATTATCTCTTTTAATAACAAATTCCTATTCGCTCACTGAGTACTGGACACATATTATGAAACTTGGAATAGATTCCGACTGTTCAATTAATTTCTATTGTTTTTTACCAAGGGAGTAAGAGAATAATTTCAATCTTTTAGTATCTGATTACTCTGCATCAACCATGCTTAATACAAACAAATGCTTAAATACAAACGACGTGGCTGATAATCTATTATACTACCGGAAAAAAAGATGAAAACGATCGTTAAATAATGTACAAAAAAAATGTTTGTGCTCGACCTTTTGCAATCAGCTCGAAGACATGGCTGCATTCAAGGAGTATGCTATCAATGCTGTTGCATCATTCTATTCTATCTTAGTTTTATGTCTAATGAACAATAAAGACAGAATGACATAATAATACTGATAACGCGATTTCTAAACACAGCCATAGTCCATCCAGCACTGAATTACTTGTTAAAGTTGACAATCGGCTGAGTCTGTAAAACTTATTTAATTTATTATGTGTTAATTAAAAGACAATTAATTTCAAGGAATCAAATCGACATTAACTCATATAAAAAAGAATAAATATTATATAAATAAGAATAATTCAAATTTAAAGAAACAATACAAAGAAAACTTAATTATTTGATATTTTTTACAAAAAGATTTATAAGTCCGTCAATTACTGAGGATTAAAAGATTAATAGATAAAAATATTAAGAGGGCAAATCTTTGCACAAAGACACTTTATATATCAGCGGCAGTCTGTCTGAAAGGCAGACTTGGAAAAGTCAAGGGAACACATAAAAGAGACTGGAATTTTGGACTTTGTTCACAATTCCTTAAACTGCTCCTATTCCATAATTTAATAATTTTTATAATTTTTTAAATATTACAACGTTTACAATCAAATATGTTCAAAACTCGTACACTTTTAAATGATTTAAAAAAAAAAAAATTAAAATTTATATTTTATTCAGCTCAATTCATTTGATCTTTTTTTCGTTATAATTGCATTCTTTTTTCCAATACTAATTTATTTTTTGTTGGTTTGAATTTGCTCCCAAAATTTTATTATGCTACTAAGTCTCTTTTGCGTTTTTAATAATATAAACTAATTTTCTTACAATCCTTAATTCTAAATGTTAAAATTTTTTATATATTTTATTATGTTAAAATTTTTACACATTTTATATTGGTCATGGAAATTTCCCATTTTTATCTGGAAAACCTGGAAAAGTCAGGAAATTTTTAAATTCATTTTCTGTGACAATCCTGATCTGAAAGGTTACTCTTTGTCCCTTTTCCATTTCTATCGATATATCGAATTTATCGAAGTATTATGTTATTAGGGATAAATCGAAACCTAATTTTTACGAAACTTTGCGAGATTAAAATTCTTTCGAAACTTTCGAAACTTGAAACTTATAAAATCTGAAATGTTAATTTTAAGAAAAAAAGATGGTGCAAAAAACTGTGCATAAGATTCATAAAGTAATAAACAAAAAATTATTAAAATGATTTATTTTCCATTAAAATACTGATAAAATTATTTCTGCCAATAAAAATAATTGTACTTATCTGTTAAGTATGGATCGACACATTTTTAGTTGAAAAATCAATTTTTTTTTTATAAAAGCGTAAATATATAGGAGCCTATTTTATGCACAATTATTAAAAGGAATATTTTTGTTAAGAAATAAAAACATTTTTTCAGAAATTCAGATTTAGAAAATCAGATTCTAAATTTTTATTAAACATCATTTAAATACAATTTAGAGATGGAAAATTATAGATAAAAATTATTTTAGCTAATAATTATTTTTGAGTGTACAAAATCAAAACTAAATGATAAAATTTTGAATTGGTTGAAGAGCAGGTTATTTATCTGTAACTTTACCTTCACCAGATTTTCTGTATATACTAATTAGATTGCCGATTGCTCGTTTGTGTGCATTATCTCTTCTACATGCTGTATCCAACGTGCTAATTCTGTTGTGTTTCCAAATTGACATCTCTATCTAAAGATTTCGAGAGTTTCGATAAAAATAATACGAAGTTTCGAATCTTCAAAACTTGAAACTTTCCAGAGATTTAAGGATATTCCATCCCTTGTTGTTATACTTTCTCGCGATTGAATCTCTCGCTGCGCTTATTTTATGAGCTGTCATTACATATTTTGTATTATCTAGAAGTTATTTTAAGTATAATAGTATGATTTTAATTGTACGCGTTTATAAGTATTTAGATATTTAAGCAAGTATAAAAATCAAAAATTAAAACTAAATGCGCAAAAAGAGTTATTGTTAAAAAAGTCACTATTTTACTTTTTTGATAACTGATAGAGATTGATAACTGGATAGTGGCGCTGTAAGAAAAATGTACGTGAAAACATGACTTACCTCGTTAACATGGTAATTAACAAAACTAAAATTACCAAAGGTCCGGAAGAAACTGGAACTACGCCAGTTCCCTGATGAGCTTGACCACAAGCTGGCGGGCAAACAGGGATAATGCTTTCTGTTGAAACAAA